TTATTATTATTATTATTATTATTATTATTATTATTATTATTATTATTATTATTATTATTATTATTATTATTATTATTATTATTATTATTATTATTATTATTATTATTATTATTATTATTATTATTATTATTATTATTATTATTATTATTATTATTATTATTATTATTATTATTATTATTATTATTATTATTATTCAGCTGTCACTCAAATAAGATTGTGTTGACAGTGGAATGAACATCTGCCAAATTGAAAAAAAAAATGTTTTGCCTCAGACTGTGTGGCTTCAGCGAGAACAGTAAATGCCAAGAAGGATCCTCTCTTCTTCTACTGCGTCGTTTTGTTTGGCATTTGAATATTATTTTTAACTTTTGCAGCAGAATTGTGGTTACCATGTTACACTGCAGCCTGTTTTTTGTGACGCTATCACCGTTCAGTTAAAAGCAACACATGGTCTTTACATAAGACCGGCATTTGCTGCGTCGGTGTGCATAGTTAACACAGATTAAAAATGACGGCCTTTTCTCGGTTATAAATCCTCTGCATGTCTAACGTCAGTTTACTGATGGCCGGGTGAAAGTATGTCTGTTCTGCATCCACCATGATGCCACCCTTAGTGGTGTTTACACAAGGGCTCCTTTCTTAAATGAAAAGACTTTTCTCCACTCAGTAAATGTTCTATGTCAGTGGTTCTCAAACTGTGGTACGCGTACCACTGGTGGTACAGTTTGAGAACCACTGAGCGCTCCCTAGTGGTACGTGGGGAAAATTCATATTTGCACATTTACATTTTCAATTGAATAAATCTGAAACATACCAAGCACAATTAATAATTAATAACATTTAAACATCTTTATAAACATTTAAAAACATTTATAAACATCTCTCCTGTGTGGTGGAAGCTAATAGGGAAATAAATAGGAAATAAAAAGTTTGAGAACCACTGTTCTATGTAGTTCTTTGCGTTTAAAAAAACTAGTGCAATTAAAACACTGTTAAAGTCTTGCAAAAGTCGTCATACTTGTACGAATGAGCAATTCTAATTTCTATTATGGGCTAATGTACAAGTACTAGTGGTATTCAAAAATATGCTTAGAATATCTGAGGTATTATAAGAGGCTTAAAACAACGTTATTTAGGTGTGTTCTGTGCGTTCCATACATCCTGCAAATACTTCTGGCTGCGAGTGAAAATGTAGGTTTAGAGCAAATACTTGTTTTTAACAAATTTTATATTTATATATGTATGTAAGTATGTATGTGTATATTTTACATATACTGTATGTATGGTACAAACATACTATAAATATACATACAGTGGGTACAGAAAGTATTCAGACCCCCTTTAAATTTGTCACTCTTTGTTTCATTGCAGCCATTTGCTAAAATCAAAAAAGTTCATTTTATTTCTCATTAATGTACACTCAGCACCCCATCTTGACAGAAAAAAACAGAAATGTAGAAATGTTTGCAAATTTATTTAAAAAAAATTGAAATATCACATGGTCATAAGTATTCAGACCCTTTGCTGTGACACTCATATTTTACTCATATGCTGTCCATTTCTTCTGATCCTCCTTGAGATGGTTCTACTCCTTCATTGGAGTCCAGCTGTGTTTAATTAAACTGATTGGATTTGATTAAGAAAGCCAGATATCTATATCTATATGTCTATATAAGACCTTAGAGCTCACTGTGCATGTCAGAGCAAATGAGGTCAATGGAACTGCCTGAAGAGCTGAGAGATAGAATTGTGGCAAGACACAGATCTGGCCAAGGTT